TCTTGCCTAAAGTATGATGACTGCACACCTCTTTAGACTGTGATTTCTTTTTTCTGGTGGATGCCAGCATCATCCATTCGTCTTCTTGATTTCATGCAAATCTGCTCTCTCAGTAAAGTCACAGTTGACTACTCTGCTAAAACTGTATCCTCTCAACAGTATAAATCCTATTTCTGGGATTGATGTTTGTCCTATGATAATCTAATGTAAAATGAATAAATTGCTCATTAGTTTTGTCTTGTTCTCTTCTCCCTTCACAAGAAGAAATGTTTTGTGATTGCAACTGTATTAATCTATTTTGTTTGGTGCTATGCAGCTCTGGCATCTAGCAAAAATGAGCGGCAAACAACAGTAACTCTGTATGTATTTCCCAAGGCCACACAGAACCCTGCTTGTTGTAGTACTGCATACTCAGTTCTTGAGTAGAACTTAAATGCTTTGATGTTAAATGCCAGATCATACATTCTGTTTGGATTCCACCTTTGATTTGCATGATGTTGCAAATACTTAATTACAATTTACTAATGCAAATTATCTTTTAAACAAGTCAAGCTTTTTCCTATGATCTTCTCAGTGACCCTGCCTTTGATAGACAGTGGTCCTGTTATTTTAGGGCCATGTCACAGCTGTAGGGGACAACAGCTCCTTTATTTAGAAACCATCTGGTCTGGGAGCCATTCTCTACAATTTTTTAAAGGTTGTGGCACTGGCAATTACTAAGATGTTCAAACCGTAGGCCAGTCGTGGAGGCTGTGGAAAGGACAATCCCATGTAGTTGCCCCTGTTTTGAGGATATACACATTTATAGCAACTAGTACAAGCAAAAAATGTATTAAAATTGAGTCTGGCTCCCTCTCTGTGCTCCATGAGTGGCACTGGTTACAAGCAGTGCCCGTTACTGTATAACCTATATCACTATCAAGAACAAGTCCTTGGAAAGGCTAAGGTGTGTGTGTGTGTGTGTGTGTGTTTGTTTTTTACTCTCAGTGGTTATAGGCTGAATTTCTCTTAGGCGTCCTGAGTCTAAATCTGCTGTTTAATACAATACACCTTCTGCATCCAGCAATTGACTCAAGTCTCTGTACCCTCTGTTTCAAATACATATTGGATTCAAGTTTCAGTCCTTAGACACCTCTTTACTTGGGGGATAGCGCCTCTGTCCACATATATGGCATTCACTTGGCATTTCTGTTAACAATTTTTGACGATGGGTATTTATCAGGGAAAACCGCATGTACCAAACACCAGGATAGATAATTGGATACATAATTACTCCTATTTCTTTAACTCTGCCTTTAAACTAAGAATTCTCCCAGGTTATTTTTCTTTAAATGTTATTATCAGGGACCTTAATGAGAAATCTATTACCTGTTATTGAGTTTGGTACTTGTTTCATTTTATTTGGCTTTTATAATTCTGTTCTTAAATTCTAGCAGCTCTTATTCTCAAACAATCACTTCCTTCCAAAAATCTAGTTTTTATTTTCTGTCAAATTTTCAGCTTGTGAGATACTCAAATATTCTGAACACTAGCTAAATCACTAACGAACACTTTGAAAAGTAAATTAAAGATGGAATCATGACCTAAACCTAGGTCATTCTCCATTGCATGCCCCTAAGTGGAAGGTGGTCAGGAAATGAGACGATAAAGACAGAACAGGTGGGGTTGGTTGGCCTTACATAAAATCACGGCTTATGCTAAGCAAGTTTGTTAAGAAGTATAGCACCTTATTTTCAGGAGAGAAATGAGATAAAGTTAGTAGAAAATATCATACAAGGGGACAAAGTCAGCATACAGGGGGACAAAGTCAGACAGAAGCTAAATCAATATTGTCCAAGGGGAACATAAGGTTTCTCAAGAACATTAAAGACCAGGCACACAGTGACCTTGGGACTAATAACCATAGTCCTGTAGGGTGGTACAAGCTGTGTTCTCAGGATCTGAAGTCCCAGTTTCTATAAGGCTTTGACCCTAAGCCATTTACTAGTTCTGACAATCCTGTTCCTGGTTTTAGACATCCCACTGCATTCCTTCTTTGTACATCAAGTTCTCAGGAAAAGCCTTGGATCGGCTCAGTCCTCAACAGAATGGCATGTAATTCTGATAAATGAAGAACAATGAGCATAAGTAATGAATGCACCTTAAACCCTTGAAAGAAACATCTACTAGAAAGACTGTAGCTCTAGCTGGAGACTCACTGTAACATAAATGCAAACATTTCCAGCTCCTAGACATAGTTTTGAATATGTAATCCCTGATGTAGTAGATACAGTAAAGGCTTATGGGTAGATGCTGCTACTGCTGTTGCTGCTGCAACTATTGTTTTCTGAGCAGTAAAAGACTCCCTGTGACAGAGTAACTGTGTCAACAGCTTTTGGGACTTTAAATGTACAACAATCAAGGATACTATTTGTACTTTTTGTATCATTGGCTGGTATAGCAGCACCAAACCCTATGACTTAGGTAATTATCAACAGGAACTTTTAATTTACTTGCCACATGGCTTGTGAGTGAATACATGCTAGAATGCACAAGTTCATGACTGATGTTCGATCACATCGATACTTAAAGTAAACTAGACACACCTGTTAAATCAGGCTCTGGGTGTGAGGCAGTCCTCAAATGTTTTAGATTTATACCCAAAAACCCTACAAAAAAAGTTCAACCTGTTCCCCTTCAATGACCCACTTGGTTTCAATCTTCATATCGGGAGGTTAGTGTTGGGATACTTCCAGGATTTAAGAGGAATAAAATGATAATTGTTTTTATCAAGTTTATTAAATATTTGCTATAGATTCAAAGTTTCTAGGAATTTGAAAAATTATAGATAATCAAGGAAGCATTCTTGAAAAATAAAGGAGTCTGTAGAATGGTGACTATAAAATGTTTACATGCTGATGAAAAGATGGGGATTCTTTGTATGTGTCTTTACAACACACCAGAAAAGAATTCTGGAGCCTACAGTTGCTTCTAAGTGGATGATGATGAGGCTATTGTTCCCCATGTAATTAACAACTTTGTGTGAAAAAGTAACTACAATAGCAACTTTCAGTTCAAAAGGTGAGTGCCCCCTAAGTACAAATGTAACATAAGCACAAAGGATGAAACAACTTATTTATGAAATTGATAGGTGTTTATTTTGGTGTGAGAAAAGGCTGAGAAAGGGAAATGAATATTTTCATGGAAAAAGAGAACCTAGAGAGCGATTAGAAAACTCGAGAAATGGGCTCAGGAGGTGACAGTACAGCGATGCTCCCTCTCTGCCATTCTGCCAAAGTCATCGTCATGAAAATGAAAAACCAAAACAAAGAAAATAAATAAGATTTTACACATGCAGGCAAGCAGCAGCGGGGAACTGAATAGCAGCGAAGCAAACATACTCTCAGCCCAAACCTCTCTGATTTTGGGGGTTTCATTGACCAACGCTAAGTGTTACACTCCAGTTTTTCTTCTGTGATGGCTAGTGTAGGTCAGTTTCACACAACCCAGTCATTGTGGAGGAGAGAATCTCACTTGAGAAGCTGTCCCCCACATCAGACTAGGCTGTGGTGCTTATTCTTGATTGAAGATTGATGTGGGAGCACCCAGCTCACTGTGGATGATTCTATCCCTAGGCAGGTGTTTCTGGAATATTAAGCAATCAGGCTGAGAAGCCAGTAAGCAGAATTCTTGCATGGTCTTTGTATCAGTTGCTGTTACCGGTTTCCTGACTTGAGTTCCTGCCCTGGTATTCTTTGATGAAAGACTTTGATATCAAAGTCAATCCCACAATCAAAGTATATGCTAAATAAACTTTTTCCTCCCCGAGTTTCTTATGGTTCTTGTGTTTTATCACGGCAATAAAAATGTTAGGTAACACACCTTCCCTTTTCTCATTACCTGAATAAGGAACAATACAAGGTGACTATGTTCATGTTTTGTCAAATAATGGTAAAGTAAGTACAAACCATCACTATGAACTCCATCACTTCATGAAAAGAATAACATGATAGCAAAACTCAGGATGGATGTTCTCTAAATGAGAGACTGCTTGATTAGCTCACCATTTTCCTTATTTTGATACAGGGATATGGCAACCTGTCTGTGGGTTGGAACTGTCTTGAGTTCCAGTGGCAAAGGCTGACACAAACTATGGTTCTCACAAGATGGATGAAAGTAGCCCAGCAACTGAGACATTCAGTCTCTTTGCAAATTTATGCCTGGTTCTTATTGCAACATGTGGGATAAGTCATTCTCCACAAATTCATTATCAGTTTTAACAAAGCCTTGGTAAAGTTGACTTGCATATTAAATTCAGCTCTGCCTGGCTATCTTAGAATGTGCTACATATAAGCAGTTCCTTTGCCTAAACCATATATCACTCACCACACTGGCGGCATGGAATTGCAGTTTTTCTCAGCACTGTTCCCTCGCTTATAATATGCTAAAATTTGAAGACAGGAACAAGCCTTCCATATCTTATTACCCTTTTAACTAAAGTAATGGTTTGTCACATTGTTGAGCTCTTGTAAATACTCGCTTAATGACTGAATAATGGCTTCAGTGGGGTTATGGTTCTTAAAACATTATAATTACACACTCCAAACTTCCTGTTACTATTTCTGGTCTAGAAGTAGGAAGTAGTCCTTCTCTTTGACCTCATTCTTTAGGATTATGCGCCATAACCTTGCTAACTGTTCAAGGTGATAGAAATGCATAGAACAGCTTCCCTGCCTTCAGAGATGTTGACTCACTTCACTTTGCGGCTAATTTATGTGATGCTTCTAGCACAATGCTGTACAGAAACACATTCAATTCTTGAATGCTATAAATAGCGGTAATTTAATTATTTTAAATCTCAACAGAGTAAACACTTGTTCAGTTATGTTTTTGTTAGTGAGAATAAAACCTGTTTGTCGCTATTAAGTGGCAATACCCACTCTATTTATGGTAGAGTTCTCCTCACTAACAAATGATAGTCAGTATCCCCATGACACAATTCACACAATACATCGGCTTACTGTTGCAAGTCTTGTTGTACTTGCTGTTCTCCTGCGCAAACCCTTCCAGCCGGCACTGAAAGCGATGCTGCCAAAATTCTTGAAACCAAGGGTTTCTGAGGTTTGTTTCTGGCCGGAGTTTCAGATAATAATCATCAAACCACTTGACATCGGGGGACTGGAGCTTGATTGTAATTCCTCCAACCGCTTCTCGCTGGTACCCATCTGTCACGTCATACCTGTCAGCCCAGCCGTCACTGGGGAAACACACAAACAGAAACAAGCCTGTCAGCTTAGAGCAAAACTATCCCAGGGAACCAAATCTTTCTCGTTTGAGATACCATTTTGTAAAGTGGCTACTACAGGACTCACGAAGACGCTGTACTCTCTGCCAGAGGTGACTGTCACCTCCCAGCCTGTTAGAAGTAGAAAGCAAGGCAATAAAATGATGGAAATTCTAGAATTCAGATGCCAGAAGGCAATAATCTTACCTTGAATTATAGACAAAAAGCTAGCATTTTTAATGGAATTTTACAGGTTTCAAAAATACACTGTAAGTTTTACAATTTTACCACGCGTAATTTTCCTGTAATTTTAACAACTAAATCATCAACTTTAAATATACTTTTTATTTACATTGCAGCAATCATTAAAAGAAAAATAAAATAAGTTTGAGAAATATTTCCAAAACACACATAATATTCATTAAAACACACCATGGTATGATATTGTTGTTATTTACATACAAAAATAATAAGGGTTAAAATATCTTACAGATAGCCATCTTATTAAACATTGATTTTTGATAGTCTGATGCTGAAAGATTTATAGACTGCAGTGCTTACAGTCCTTGTCAGCCTGTGGAACTTTTCAAATGCATTTAACCGTATGTTAGAAATTTTATATTTGCATGACTTCAGGAAATGAAAGGATAGGATACTGATGACAATGAGAAGAAACACACGCCTTGTGAACTCACAATCCCACCAGGACTCTCACCTCAAGAGAACAGAACAGAAGGAGGAAAAATATTCTAAGTTTATAGAGAAAACAAAGGAAACGGAGTGTTGAAATGAAACAGAAGAAGAGACATTTAAATTAAAAGGTACTTCTTGCAGCAGCTACATGTGTTTGATTTGTTTTTCCTCTTGTCTGCTGGAGCGCCCAGCTGGTAATGGCTATCTTCTGCACCAAGAGATGCTGTCTTTTCTGGAAGACATAGACGTTCTCTTTAAGGAAATATATCCTCCAGGAAATTATGACAATTCAAAAAACCAACACCAAAGAAGCAAAGAAGCACTGTGCAGAGAGCCGAGAGTTAGCGCATTGTGGTGCCTGCTGGCTGCACAGGAGCAAGATGTCTGAATTTGAGAAGCTGGTGGAGAACACAGATTTATATTCAAATCCACTGTTTACATTATCCCTATTATTTTAACTGAATAAATGTTTGTATCCAATATAATTTGGCTATAAAATCAGTTATGAGAAAACAACACAAAAAAGAAAGAATATTTTAAAATATGATATGCCATATCTCTTCTGATTTAAACACTGATAACTAGGAGTTGCTGGAGAGGTCATAGATTATCATTAGTGGATTACAGAGGTTACCCATGATGATTTGAGCTTTCTCCCAAGGCAAAAGAACAGAGAGGTAGAAAAAGAAATAAGAAAAAAAAAAGAGCCAACTCTTCTCCTAAGGCTCTTTAGACAAGATTTCTTATTAAAGTTATCTACGGAGTAATTTTAAGAAACTTTTGTAGCAGATTAGGGAACGCGAAGGAAAACAGTGAATCTGTCCCAATGTTGAATTTGAATACTTCACACAATTATCTTCTCTCAAGTTTCTCATTTTCAGCTCCAGAAGATTTTATTTAAAGCTGACAAGTTGAAGTGAAGGGGACTTGTTTACCTCAGTTCCTCCCTCTGTTGTTGCTGAGAAGAGAGTGTGGGGCTCTCTGGCACCCAGGAGATGCATGGGCGAGCTGCAGACAGGACAGGAAGCTCGTCTGTCAAGCAGGGTCCCCTTCTCCATGGATATGTGAATTCAAATTGTTCCTTGGTTAATGTTAGCTCGCTCTTATGTAACACTGTGATTATGAATGTTATATAAAAATGTGAGAAGACAATGGGCTCAATTTGCACTTCACAATTCATTCATTGAATTTAATGGAGTTTGCAAAAGCTGGTCTTGATAAACTCTCTTGGGGATAGTGTTTCCATAGATGAAAAGTATCTGGAATCAAGAATGTTAATTTGCTCATCTTTAACTTTGTTCTTTCATTCTTTGTTTGTCTAGGATACAAATTGCTTTATAACAATTTAGAAGAAGATGATGCTTTGTTATTGGCCTTGTTAGTTCCTGCTGGAAGTTTAAAATCAGTATGATCCAGATATTTCCAATGTATAGTAAAAACACAAACAACAAGGAGCTAGTGAAGAAACAGAAAATTCTCAATAACCACAAGCCCAAATAGGTTCGTTCGTTTAGCAAGAATTTCTTTTCAAGAATATTTTACGGGGGAAAGGTGCTTTATGCACTGGTGATCGGTTCTTGTGATTGGTGCAAACAGTCAGATCTGTCTAAAACTACAGAGCATCTCCAACACAGAATAAAACGAATCTAAAAGTAGTAAAATACGTGTTAAGGAAAAGTGAAAATTACCTTCCTACCACCCAGTGCTTTCTATTGCTTTGATAAGATTGTGTTCAACATTCTGGGGCCACATTAATGGTTGCAGTGATACATGTCTTACCATAGCAAGAGGAAAAGGAGAGAAAGCTAAGGAACTGCTGCACGTTGGGTTCTTCTCCAAACTTACAGCATGTCCGTCCATCCATCTGTCCAACTAATTACTTTTTCTTTTCTTCTCACTAGTGAGCATTTTGTCCATGACTTACAACATATTCCAGTTTTCTTTCCCCATTTTTTAAAATATAAATGAGACTGTTGATTTTTATGATCCATATTTATAAACTCTGGTCTGAGGTATAGCTCAGCATTAGAACACTTGCCTAGTGTTCACAAAGCCCAGGGTTTAAGTCTCAGCCACCCCCATTACATGTTTGCAAATTCAACTACTTTCTATACTTTAATTACAAAACCGTTTTGATGTTGGTTTAGTTTTGAGACTTCCACAAATATGCAGAGAAGGAAAAACAGTGTCCTGACATGATTTTCCCATGAGAGCTTAAATGAGATGTCAGTTTGCACAGGGGAAAGCCTCTTTCTCATACTGAGTTTACTCTCAGAATTTCCACATTTGTATAGGTTTTGTTGGTGATTTTGCCCTCTCACAGAGCCCCAAGAAAAGAACTTGTATGTGATCTGGTGTTCCTAAGAACAGGGAAACTGTGACTTACATAGGAAATGCATGCATCATAAGACTTGAATTTAGCAATGGATAAAATGCTCTACTCTGGAAATTTTATAATAGTGATCAACTTGGTATCAAGGAAGAATATACTTAAGCAGGAACACACATTAAACAAGTTGATAAAAAAATTATTAGTTGATAAAAATATTGTGACCAGAAACGAGGAGCTACTTAAACATGTGTTTTCCCTAGAAAAATGTCAGTATTTACTAATTTAGAATTTTCAGATGTTTGTAGAACATTGCAGTAAAAAAATGAGACTTGATGGCCACTTTTTTTATTTTTTTGGCCACTTTTAATTGATTTTTGTTCTAGTGCTGCTTCTAGCTTTGTTTTGGCTGAAATAGCAGAGTGACTTGGTTATTAGAAGGAAGAAAAGCTTTCTTAACTCACACACCAAGGTTTACCCAAAGGGAAAATATCCATATACTCTCAAAGAACCTTCTCAAGAGACATTTAAAATCCTTTGTCATCCTAAGATACATTTTATTTGTAATTGTGCACGAACAAGTGTACTTGCATGTGTGTGTGTGTGTGTGTGTGTGTGTGTGTGTGTGTGAGAGAGAGAGAGAGAGAGAGAGAGAGAGAGAGAGAGAGAGAGAGAGGAAGAGTGTTTGTGTGTGCATATGCACATGTAAGTGTAGATGTTTGTGAAATGCAGTAGAGGGCATAGGATAACCTGAGTCTGGAGTAATAGGTAGTTTGTAAATTGTGTGATGTGGAACTGGGAACCAAAGTCAGATGCTCTGAAAGCAGCATGTGATATTAACTGGTGAATTCAACTCTCTCACTAACTTCTTATATTACTTTATTTCTTTCCTGAAAACAACTTAAAAACATATTCTACAATATTTCACTTTCATTCTCGTCCCAAGATTATATTCTGAAACTTATATACTTCTACTCAACAATTAGCCCTTCTTTCTTCCTCTCAAATATTTTTTATTATTTTTCTCATAATTCACAATTCATGGTAGTCTGTTTTCTTTTAAAGATTATTTTAAAAATTTCTATAATTCAAACTAACAAATTCAGTTGCTTTAATAACACACAAGAAAAGGTTCATGTATTTAGAAATGCCATTATATAATTTAGCCATATAAGTACCCCAACATTAGAATTATTCAATCATTAATTGCATTAAATTATTTGTAATTTATTATATGTCATATTTAATAATGTTTATAAATTTACATATATGCATAATACAGTAATCATATTATATATGCATACATACATAACATCTGACAAATTTTATAAAATCACTGCAGGCCTTATAATAATTAGATTTGCCATCACATTTATTTAGCAAAACCATGGAGAATTTTTAAGGGATACATACTTACCAAAATAATTAAAAATAAAGAATAAAAATAATTGCAAATTATCTAGTGTTTTATAAAAGAGCTAAACAATTTTATTTTTTTGCTCACAATATAATTCCTTCCTTTTCTCATTTTTAGAATCAATATTTGCTTTAAATTATTGCTATTATTTCCCTCAAAAATAGAAAAACACATAGAGTACTAAACTAATGGACTGGTGTGTATTAGTGATCGAATCAATGTTGTGCTAGGTACAAAGCATTAATTCTGTATGGGTTTTGAGTGCCTCTTCTATGTTAGTCATTAAAAACAGGCCACACCCAAGGAAGTCACCGTCAGTGATACACTGGAATTTATTCATTTTTCCTTCAGAATCAGCATCCCCTTTGCTTTTTATCCTATTGACTCATAAACAGGCAACTCATTAGGTTTCAAGTGTCTTTATCATTAATTAATGAAAATTACATTTTGTCCTGCCTTCCCAACATTATTCCTTGATCAATTTGTATTCTAAATGTTTCCAAACTCCTAGACATTACATTTGCACTCTCCTAA